AGAGGAGTCATAAATATGAGGAGAATAAGGAGTGTGTAGTGTCATAGACATTGTTTCAACAAAATAATGGGAAGAGAAGGCAGGGTAGATGTTTGAGTCAGAACAGAAGGGGAAGTAGCCAGTATAAACTATTTAGAGAATTTGTGATCCAGTGGGGAGGAGAGTGGATAGCTGCTGGATAAATACATAATGAGACATAAGGGGTAGGAGATGAGAGAGAGAAGAGGTGGATATATCAGGTTCCCAGAGGTAAAGAGAGAGGATGAGGTTGGTATCCAAATGGAAGGACTACAAACAGAAAGAAAGAAACTTACTTTTATTTTTGGCCTCTTTGTCTTCAGTCTCAGGGATGCCAGTGAGAGTCCTAAGCAGTATCTGGCTTGGTATTTTCTGGGCAAAATTATTTTGCCAGTGGGTTAAATTTCCAAAAGATACCCAAAAGTTCAACAATTTAAATTAAGGATTTAAAAAAAATGTATTTTTATACTTGCTTTCATACCTTAGTGGAAACCAGAGTGGGATTAAGAAACACCCTTAATGAGTTAGAGGTCATACCCATTTATCTTTCAGTTCTCAGAATTTTGTGACTCCAAAGTTCCAGCCCATTTGGCCTAAAGTACAAAGTTAGTTCAATTTTTATAATTAAAAATCTTAGGGATTTCATAGATTTATCCATCTGAGAAAAAAGGGAGACTGCTTAAAGAAAAGGTAGTGGTTCAAATGCATATTGTTTGATTGACTAGGTGAGATTCAGAGCAAAAAGCAAAACTCGATTGCCTAAGTGGTTGGAAGAAAATTACAACAACAGAGTGATTATTTTTATTCTCAGTAATCATAATATTTATAAAAAGTTTTATAATATATAAAGGGCCCTCAATATATTGGTTTGTTTAATCTTTATAAAAATCTTTTGATATAGAAGGTACAGATTTTGTCTCTAGAAATAATGCCAGTAAAATATTGGGCATCATTTGGAATTATAGCCAAACAAAAATAACAAAAAGCATTATTTTCTTTTCATCCCAAGTCTTGGTATTTGTACCTGGAGAACTCCCTTCAGTTCTAATTACCGTGCTTAAAGACCTAATATTAATAAATTGGAGAAAATCCAAATCATTTTAGTTCAGTTCAACAAGTATTTTTTTAGTGCTAAGTCTGTGATATTTACTGTCTTAAGGGATCATGCAAAGAACATGACCCACTGTTGCCTCTCAGTGAACTCACAGTGTAGAAGGGACAAAGACTTGTGAATATGTGGTTATAATACTACAAGATAAAAGCAGTGGTGAAGGTCTGCAGTGAACAGAGGTTGCAGAGAAAAGGGTCAGGAACAAGTTCCCAAAGGATGGGATAAATGAACTAGGCTTTAAAGAATGATAGGATTTGATCAGGTGGACAGAGAGACCTAGGATATTTTTTTTCTTTTTTTAATTTTTATTTAAAGCACAGGTCAGTCCAAAAAGGGATCGAGGATATTTGAGAGAGACGGAAATGCTCACATAAAGCTCAGAGGTTGGCTGGGTGCAGTGGCTCACAGGTATAATCCTAGCATTCTAGGAGGCCAAGATGGGAGGATCCCTTGAGGTCGGGAGTTTGAGACCAGCCTGAGCAAGAGTGATACCCCATCCCTACTAAAATAAAATAGAAAAAAAAAATTAGCTTGGCACGGTGGTGAGTACCTGTAGTCCCAGCTACTCCAAAGGCTGACACAGGAGGATAGCTTGAGCCCAGGAGTTTGAGGTTGCTGTGAGCTAGGTTGATGTCCTAGCATTCTAGCCTAGGCAACAGAGCGAGACTATCTCAAAAAAAAAAAAAATTAAAATTAAAAAAATATGTATATAAAGCTCAGAGGTGTGAAATAGCATGATGTATTCAGAGAATTATAAGTAGTTCAGTGTTGTTAGTGAAATGTAATTGTATGAGGCTAGACAGTTTTACAGAGACTAATTAATTCATCAGCAACACAAATCAAATCCATGTTTTTGATGATCACTCTGGAGGGTAATTCTGCTGGCAGGGGACATATCAGCTAAGAGGCACCTGAAAGATTTATAGGCAGGATATGATAAGGGTCTGAACTGGACAGAGTACTGTTAGGGATGGAGAGACATTAGATAGAGAGATATATGTAAGATAAAACATTTTGAATTGGATGCCTGATTCATTGTTAGGTCATGGAAAAAGAGACTGTTCAAATAGGCCTGGAGGAACTTCTGCTTCATTAAGAAAAGTTAAGCTAAATTAAGTATTTCAATCTGGAGAGGTAAATGCTGGGAAAGAATAGGTAAAATTCCTATTTTGAAATCTGTAAGTTGAATACAGACTGGATTATCGGTAGCAACTGGAACTAATGGTCACCCCTCACACATGGAAAAGGTAAATATGGGATCAATAAGAGTACATGATACTGCATAAAGTAAGCATTAAACTTATGGAAATTTAGGCCCTAATTCCCTCCAAAATGAATGTATTCAACAGAAGTTTAGTTAATTATAAAAAGACAGGCTTACATTGTTATTGAAAAATCAGGTTGTTCTGAATGTGAAGATGGTATTTTGAAGGTGAATAAAACCATTTATTTCCTAATGCTTTAGTAGATGAACAGCAGTGGCTGGTTCATAGGTTTGACCCAGAATTAAAATGGTTGTAGATAAGCATCCTAGACAGTGATTACAGAAGCAATTAAAAGAAAAACTATTGATTTTTAAAGTTTGATGCTCTTGAATAGTGGTTCTCCAACATTTTAGTCTCATTCTTTATACTCTCTTACCTCTTGTATTATCCTGGATAGAGCTGGAGCCTGTTCTACTAAGTGAAGTAGCACAAGAATGAAAAAACAAGCACCACATGTACTCACCATCAAAGTGGTATTAACTGATCAATATTTATGTGCACATATAGTAGTAACATTCGTCTGGTGTCGGGCAAGGGGGGGGGAAGAAGGGATGGGTATATTCACACCTAATGGGTGCGGTGCTCACCATATGGGGGATGGACATGCTTGAAGCTCTGACTAGGGTGGGGCAAAGGCAACCTACACCCCTGTATTATGCTGAAATTAAAAAAATAATACCTTATTGAGGACCCCAAGAAAATTTTATTTATGGAACTTATATCTATTGATACTGTTAGAAATTTAAACTGAGTAAAATATTCATTGATTTATTTTCAAATGAAAACAATAATGCATCACATATTAATATGACTTTTTTAAAGGAAAAATTAATGAGAGGAATGCTGTTGTTTTACTTTGTGCAAATCTCTTCAGCTTGATTAATAGAAGATATCTGGATTCTCACACATATCTGCTTCTGCATTGTTTGTTGTGATAGCATCCATTATATAGCTTCTGAAAAACACTGTACACTCAAGAAAAGAGAGTGAAAAAGGCTGATTATTATGAAAATGGTTTTGACTTTGAGGATCTACTGACAATAGCAGTTTGAGGACTGCTATTCACAAAGAAACAGAAATTTGTGTTACATACACAGAGAAAGTATTGCTTTACTCCTACTCCACCCTTTTTGGAAGTAGGTCCTCCTAAGAATAATTTCACCATTGTTTACTGGCCTTGTCCTATACCTCTAAAGGCCTGTGATCTATCTACAGATATATGAAGTCAAGTCCAAGGAAGAATTTGTTAGTCTTCTATGACCTTATGACTCTATCCTTCCCAGTCTAATGATGTATACGTTCAACTAGCCCTGTGCTCTCCATTTTTCTTCATAATTTCTCATTATTGATAAACCATAGAGGCATATTTTTTTAACTGGAGTCTGAGGAGGAAGAGTAAGACTGTAAGCAGGGTCCCTTCTTTGTGTCTTGGAAGACTTAGAGAGGGAAGGGAAACCACAGTATTACCTAGAGTCTGGACTCCTTCAAAATGCAAAACTGTGGAGACTACTTCCTGGAGACCTGCCTCCAGAGTAGTAAAGAAGAATTATCTGTAGAAAATATCAACACTTTCAAGATTTTTCTCTGCTTTGAAAATCCATGAGCCTAAAAATAGTCTCTTGAGTTTCTCTACCTCTTATTCATCAAATACACCATTTGTCTTCTGTCTTTCCTTTCTCATTCTGCTCCATCAATACCAGCTTCATCCGATTCCAAACACAGGGGTGATGTGTCTGTGTCCAATGAGAACCAAGTCTTTTTGTTCTTTAAGGTATCTCCACAATCTCTCCATTTTCACTGCCACCACACAGTTCTGTCATTCCTATTTAAACAACCTTAGGATTTTTTACTTGAGACTGCTTTTATCAATCCATTGTGTATAATACTGCCTGACTAGTTTTTCCCAGACACTACTGTTATCTTAACACTCCTTTGCTAAAAAGTCTTCAGCGATGCCTTAATTTGTACCATGATACAAATCTGCTATATCTCTCTGCCCTTCCTTCTGCTTTCCCATGAACCCTTCATCTGAAATATTCCACGATACTCCTGGCTGTTTCCCCACAATCCTGTGAAGACAGTTGTACATTTCTTAGCTCTGTGCTATCTTCATGTTAGCCTTTTCACCTGGAATGTCCTGTTTTTCCCCTGTCATCTAAATCTAATGGATTCTTCAAAAGCCAATTCAAAACCAACTCCTGTAAGTGGTTTTTACCCGACTGGTTTGCTTTTATTTATTTCTCTCTTCTCTGATATATAGTAGTATTTGAAGTTTCTACCATATAGTTTATTATGTAATTATTAATATATGCCATTATTAATTGTTTATTTTTGTTTCAGTTATGTTAATTTTTTCTCTCCAAATCCTAGTTTCTTGAGAACCTGTTTAGAATTTAATTCTGGGAAAGACCGGACTTCTTAAGTTAGGCCAAACTGCCCATTGGTTTTTCCAAAAACTTTCACTGAAGTATTTTTGTGCTAGTTATGTTAGGTTGGTCTTACATCTGAGCAGGAGTTCAAGTCTAACCCATAATACCCAGTGCAATGTTATTTCTAAGTGTAGTTTTCATGTACTCATTCTGAATTTGTCAAACTTTATCTTACAGCTATTTCTGCATTTGAAGTTCAGCCAGTTTCCATTGAGGTCCACGAAGGTGGAGTCGCTAGATTTGCATGCAAGATTTCGTCAAACCCTCCTGCAGTCATAACGTGGGAATTCAATCGGACAACTCTGCCTATAACGATGGACAGGTAAATGTAGATTGTTGTTTGGAGGTGGTACAACGGTAATGAAGACTTCATGTGAAATGATTTAGGGAGAAAAATCAAACTCTTAAGACATTTTAAACTTAGCCAAAGAATTAGATTGTCAGCCACTGGCACATGGGGCATGGTTCCTGATTCACATCGGAATTTAAATAGGTTATCCTACTGCTTTGTCCCTTTCCTCAGCCATGTGTTCTAACTATGGGGCCACCTGAGTATCTGGATGGCAGCCCAAGGTTTTAGGAAACCAAATTACCCTCTCACTGCTGGGAAGAACAGTACAGGTGTAAGGGTCTCCCGTGTATGGCTTGATAGCTGCCCACTCCTATCTATGTCATCTACTTCCCAGCTGCCTCTTCACCACACACGCATGCACACATACACGCACATACCTGATGCTCTGAGAGTGGTTGAGCTATAGGGATCAAGAACTTGGTGGCAGCAACTCCTAAGATGGAAGAATTTATTCAAGGAAGTGCATTATGTTTTAAAAAACATATCCAGGTACATCATGGAGAATACATAGATAGTCATAGGTAAAAAATCAGGAATTTGAAAAAAAAATATATCACAGTAAGCTCTGGAACACCAGTTAGCTAAATCTAAGTTAGAATGTCTGAAGAGGCTCTCTGTGTAAAATTACTTTGATAGATTTCACAAACTATATCATGCAGAATCATTTATGTTTTAGAGAGCTTTAGTGACCCAAATGAAAACAATCAAATTGAGCTAATCTTTTAAGAGGGTGGTATTGCTCCTAGAACTGTAAAAAGGTTGAGTGTATTGATTCCTGCCATAGAATATGTTAAATAAAATATAAATTCTATGACAAAGAGTTTAATTATCTTTATTTGCATAACAGGATAACTGCCCTACCAGCAGGAGTATTGCAGATCTATGATGTTGGCCAGAGGGATGCTGGGAATTATCGTTGTGTTGCTGCTACTGTAGCCCACCGACGTAAAAGTATGGAGGCCTCTTTAACTGTGATTCCAGGTACCACAGAGAGTGGCTTTACATTTCTATGACTTTTTTTATTGGCCCAGCTATTACTTTTTCTCCTCTTGTTGTAGTCATGTGCCATTAATAGAAATTAAATTTCTTTTAAATTATTGTAATCTATTTGTAAATAGGTCATTTTTATTTATTAAGCAACTTTTCTTTCAGAGGCCAACTTATTTTCTGTTATGTTTTGTCATTGTCTTTAAGAAAGATTGAGCATTTATGTTATAAATACAGTCATCTCTTGGTATCCATGCAGGATTGGTTCTAGGACCCCCTTAGATACCAAAATCCACGGATCTCAAGTCCTTTATATAAAATGGTGTAGTATTTGTATATAATCTGTACACATCCTCCCACATACTTTAAATCATTTAGATTATTTTTAATACCTAATATAATATAAATGCTGTGTAAATAGTTGTTGTACTGTATTGTTTCTAAAATTATATTATTTTTATTGTTTTATTAGTTTTTTTCAAATATTTTCGATCTGCAGTTGGTTGAATCCACAGATTTGGAACCCAAATCTGAGGGCTGACTATATTTCACTTTTGTTTTTAAAAGTATAAAATACAGGCTGCATGTGGTGGCTCACGCCTGTAATCGTAGCCCTCTGGGAGGCTGAGGTGGAGGATCACTTGAAGTTAGGAGTCTGAGACCAGCCTGGGCAAGGGCAAGATCCCATCTCTACTAAAAATAGAAAAATTAGCTAGGCATGGTGGTACGTGCCTGTAGACCCAGCTATTTGGGAGGCTAAGGCAGGAGGATCACTTGAGCCTGGGAGTCCGAAGTTGTGGTGAGCTATGGTCATGCCACTGCACTCTAGCTGGGGTGACAGAGCAAGACTCTGTTTCAAAAAAAAAAAGTGTAAAATACAGAAAGTACAAAAAAGATTATGACAATCATCTGTTTCCACCAGAATTGTCCATTGTCAATAAAGATATATTTGTTTCCAGTATTGTTCTTTATTCTTTTGTTTGTTGTTTAAAGAAATGTTATCGTTTTCATTTGTAAAGATATGATGCATGCTTGTTATAAAAAGTAATGTTTATGAAAATAAAAAATACAAAATTTTTATGTTGAACAATATGAAAAAGTACAAAAAAAATTTTAAAAACATCATTCCCAATTCCAATATGCAGAAATTATAGTTGTTAACATTTAGTGAACATAATTGTATGTATTTTACCATACATGAATGTGGCTAGAAGGGAAACTAGAGAGATAAATATGAAAAATATATATTTTATTAAAATGGAATTATACATAGATGCTATTTTTTTTACATCAATTAAATTTAAATTTACCTGACTGTACTAGAAGAAAACCTGGACTAAAGACTTTGTTGAGCCACCTGTAGAAGGCTAAAACAGGACCCACACCTTTCACCTCTCACAAAAACCAATTCACGCTGGATAACAGACTTAAACCTAAGATATGAAACTATTAGAACTCTAGAGGAAAAAGTTGGAAACACTCTCCTAGACATCGGCCTGGCAAAGATTAAAGAGTCCCCAAAGGCAATCACAACAGCAACAAAAATAAATAAAGGGACATGATCAAACTACAAGCTTCTGCACAGCCAAAGAATAGTCATGAAAGTAACAGACAACCTACAGAATGGAGAAAATTTTTGCATCCTATGCATCCGATAAGGACTGATAACTAGAATAATATTAGAACTCACGAAAATCAGGAAGAAAAATCAAATAACCCCATTAAAAGTGGGCAAAGGACTTGAACAGAATTTTTCTAAAGAAGACAGAAGAATGGCCACAAACATATGAAGAAATGCTCAACATCTCTAATCATCAGGGAAATGCAAATCAAAACCACAATGAGATATCACTTAACCCAGTAGAATGGCCTTTATCAAAAAATCTCCAAACAATAAATGCTGGCGTGGTTGCGGAGAGAGAGGAACACTCCTACACTGCTGGTGGGACTGCAAACTAGTTCAACCTCTGTGGAAAGCAATATGGAGATACCTTAAAGCGATACAAGTGAATCTACCATTTGATCCAGCAATCCATTGCTGGGCATCTACCCAAATGATCCAGTGACACTCTACAAAAAAGACACCTGCACTCGAATGTTTTATAGCAGCACAATTCATAATTCAGGCGTGGAAACAGCCCAAGTGCCCATCCATCCAAGAATGGATTAATAAAATTGGTATATGTATACCATGGAGTACTATTCAGCTCTAAGAAACAATGGTGAATATGCACATCTTATATTTCTGGTTAGAGCTGGAACCCATACTACTAAGTGAAGTATCCCAAAGAATGGAAAAAGCACCAGATATATCTTCCAGCAAACTGGTATTAACTGAGTAGCACCTAAGTGGACACATAGGCTACAGTAATAGGGTATGTGGGGAGGTGGGAGGGGGAGGGGCGGTATATACATACATAATGAGTGAGATGTGCACCATCTGGGGGATGGTCATGATGGAGACTCAGACTTTTGGGGGGAGGGGGGAAATGGGCATTTATTGAAACCTTAAAATCTGTACCCCCATAATATGCCAAAATAAAAAATAATAATAATAATAATAATTAAAAAAAAAAAAAGACTTTGTTGAATTTCACATGAATTCTTAGTCTTCACAAGACATATTACTTCCTGAAAGATCCTTTAAGGTTTAAAAAACAAAGAAATTTTGAAAGACATTGAGAGTCTGAAGTTTTATATTTTGTGCTGTGCTTTAATTTTAGGTAGTATCTGTTAGCTTCTTGGTATGAAAGATAAGGACAAAAGCATTCTCACACTTTTTCCCTTTTTCTTAACGAGATTAGAGGAAAGATTGAATTTTTTGAACCTCAATTAAAAGTGAATAATATGAAAATGTTTAAATGTTTATCAGCTGATGAATGAATAAATGTGTCTTACCTATACAATTAAATATCATTCAATTCTTATTGTTCAGTAAAAATGAAGAACTGATATATGCTATAAACATGTGAACATTGAAAACATTATCCTAAGTGAAAAGAAGCCAGCCACAAAAGACCACATAATATATGGTTCTTTTAAATGAAATGTCTAGAATAGGCAAATCCAGAGAGACAGAAAGTAGATTAGTGGTTACCAGGCTATGGAGAGATGAGATTGGAGATTGACTGCCAATAAATATGGGGTTTCTTTGTGTGTGTGGGGGGTGATAGAAATATTCTAAAATTAATTTGATAATAGTTACACAGTTCTGAAAATTCTAAAAACCATTGAGTTACACACCTCAGTTGAGTGAATTGCATGGCATGTGAATTATATCTCAATAAAGTTGTTTAAACAAAGAAAAATGTGCATTGTAACTTAAGAATGAATGTTTTAATTCATTTCATTTATTATGCCTTATTTATAAGTTATTTTTATATTCTGTGCTTCCCTCCCCAAAGCTAAGGAGTCTAAATCCTTCCACACTCCAGCCATTATAGCAGGTCCACAGAACATAACAACGTCTATTCATCAAACCGTTGTTTTGGAATGCATGGCCACAGGAAATCCGAAACCAATCATTTCTTGGAGCCGTCTTGGTAAGTCTTCTCAGGAAAAAGTCTTTTCTTATTCTAATGAAACTGATATAATGTTTATTTTATATACAAAACACATTGGACAGTTGAATGACTTTTAACTATGTGGCATTTCCGTGTGTAGAGAAAGTTTTAATGTGGAGAATTTTATATTTTTCATGATCAATTGCTTGGATAGTAGTCTTTTGACATAATTTCAGATTATGCATTATATTGTTCTAACTGAAGTATTTTCTTTGAAATAGATCACAAATCCATTGATGTCTTTAATACTCGGGTACTTGGAAATGGTAATCTCATGGTATCTGATGTCAGACTGCAACATGCTGGAGTATATGTTTGTCGGGCCACTACTCCTGGCACACGCAACTTTACAGTTGCCATGGCAACTTTAACTGTATTAGGTATGTTTCCTTTTCATCTTGCAATCAGGAGAATCTTACATTTTAACATTTGCAGTTTTGTCTCATTTATAACTTACCTTTCTTAAGCTTTGTAGCATTGATATGAAGGTTGATATGAAGGATTGTAGTCCAAGGATGCATTTTAAGAGAAAATTAAATATGTATATTAAAATATAACCATAGGGGGAGGCCAAGGTGGGGTGGATTGCTCAAAGTCAGGAGTTTGAAACCAGCCTGAGCAAGAGTGAGAACCCCGTCTCTACTAAAAACAGAAAGAAATGAATTGGCCAACTAAAAATATATAGAAAAAAATTAGCCGGGCATGGTGGCACATGCCTGTGGTCCCAGCTACTCGGGAGGCTGAGGCAGAAGGATCTTTTGAGCCCCAGGAGTTTGAGGTTGCTGTGAGCTAGGCTGACTCCATGGCACTGCAGCCGGGGCAACACAATGAGACTCTGTCTCAAAAAAAATTAAAAAAAAAAAACAAACACCATAGGGTCATTCTTCTAAAGTCACCGTCCTGTTTGCGTGCATACTGTTATGTTCCTTCTTTTTTTTTTTTTTTTTGCGACAGAGTCTCACTTTGTTGTCCAGGCTAGAGTGAGTGCCGTGGCGTCAGCCTAGCTCACAGCAACCTCAAACTCCTGGGCTTGAGTGATCCTTCTGCCTCAGCCTCCCGAGTAGCTGGGACTACAGGCATGCGCCACCATGCCCGGCTAATTTTTTATATATATATCAGTTGGCCAATTAATTTCTTTCTATTTATAGTAGAGACGGGGTCTCGCTCTTGCTCAGGCTGGTTTTGAACTCCTGACCTTGAGCAATCCGCCCGCCTCGGCCTCCCAAGAGCTAGGATTACAGGCGTGAGCCACAGCGCCCGGCCTGTTCCTTCTTTTTTAAGCTTCTGTTTTTTCTCCGTACCCACCCGAAAAGCCATATATACCCATTTGCCAATCTAAAATTTTAATCTGTCAGTTGCCAATATGTATTCACAAGTAGCCTTATATTGGGCTTGGTTAAGGTGATCTCATCTTGATAGGGAAAACACATGGGTGGAGTGGACACTGAGCAATGCAGAAAAGTTATCTGGATAGATGCATAGGACATAGACAGGAAGCTCAGAATGTCAGAGGTCTTCAGGAATGGGACTTGTTTCATTTGCTGTACTCTTCCTTGACTCTTTATGTCATTCCTGTTGGTACCACTGAAATATTTTCTTTTTTTCTTTAAAAATAGCTCCTCCTTCCTTTGTTGAATGGCCAGAAAGTTTAACGAGGCCTCGAGCTGGCACTGCTCGATTTGTGTGTCAGGCAGAAGGAATCCCCTCACCCAAAATGTCATGGTTGAAAAATGGAAGGAAGATACATTCAAATGGTAGAATTAAAATGTACAACAGGTGGGCTATGTCACTTTGCTACTGTTTTCTATAAGAAATGATAGCTTTAGTAATTTTTATGTTAAATGGCTATAATAATATAAAATATCTTGACAGTTAAAAGTTAACTAAAATAAATAAGAAATTAACTTAAGATTTATAACATCAACATGTCATAGATCCTCTTATATTTTATACATGGTATTGGTAGATTATAATAAAACTAATGTTGAACAGTTCCCCAGACCTGGGTTCTAGTCCTCTTAAGCCACTAGTTAAGTTAAACAAGCAAGCATATTAATCCTCTAGGGTTCAGGTCCTTCTTTCATGAAATGGGGAACATAAACGGAAATTAATTCTCTCAGACTTCCTTCACAGTTCAAACTTACTGATTTTAGGAATTCATTTTTATTGGCTGGGGATAGTGGCTCTTTCTTGTAATCCCAGCATCTTAAGAGCTGAGGCAGGAGGATTAGTTAATTCCAAGAGTTTAAGACCAACCTGGACAACACAGTGAGACCCTGTCTTTATAAAAAAATAAAGTATTAGTCAGGCATGGTGGTGTGCACCTGTAGTTGTAGCTGTGCAAGAGGCTGAGGCAGGAGGATTGCTAGAGCCCAGGAGGTCAAGGCTGCAGTGAGCTATGATCATGCTACTGGATTCCAGCCTGGCAACAGACCAAGACCGTGTCTGTCTCAAAAAAAAAAATTTTTTTTTAAAAGTGAAGTCTTATTTTTATTAGTAGTATAAATACGAATTCTTGTAACATTCTCATTCATGTTGAACAAAACTTTAAAATTTTTTGACCTGAATTTTATGTTTTGATTTTAATATTATGTAAATTAGGTGCTATTACAAAGTAATATAATTTCTTAATAAAAGCTCAATGTTTAAAAAGAAATCAATATAGAATATTTTTCAATAGAACAGATTACAGTTTTTTGTTTTAAGTAACTTTTATTTAAAATGAGAGTGCATTTAGCAGTAGCTAAACTTTATTTTTATATCATTCTTAGAATTTTCATAGAAATAAATAATTTTTTTTCTTTCCTCAGTAAATTGGTAATTAACCAGATTATTCCTGAAGATGATGCTATTTATCAGTGCATGGCTGAGAATAGCCAAGGATCTATTTTATCTAGAGCCAGACTGACCGTAGTAATGTCAGAAGACAGACCCAGTGCTCCCTATAACGTACATGCTGAAACCATGTCAAGTTCAGCCATCCTTTTAGCTTGGGAGAGGCCACTTTATAATTCGGACAAAGTCATCGCTTATTCTGTGCACTACATGAAAGCAGAAGGTAAGCAATTTGAGGAATGTTTGTTTTTAAGTGCTGCTTGTTATTAAGGATTTGTTTTCAGTATGAATGATGTCTTAACTTAATCCACAAAGTATTTTTTAAATTCTATGGTGTTATCTGTTTAATGAAATTTTCTACACCTGGATATCTGTTTTTTCTCCCTAAATTTCATATTGGTATATACTTGCTATATGTAAGTATAGTTTTAAGATTTTTCTGTTTAGAAACAAGTACCAGCTAATGCAAAGCATCTCTGCCTGCTAAAAATTACACAGTGGTATACTTATGAATTTCATTCCAGCCAAGATACAAATTCCTTAACTGAGACTTAATATGTCAATTTAAGTATGCAGTTACATAGGAACAGCAGTGTGACTGTTTAGTAAAATAATAAACTATAGACACTATAGTATGTTATTTTTAAGGGGGGAAGTAAATATGATCAGATTCCCCATATACTTGATTTTGTATATTTTGAATATTTTCTGAAGTCATGTAAGACTCTGAAAATTAAACAGGACACACTTTATTAGTATTTCCTTTATTATATAAAAGTAGAAATCAAATCTGTCTTAAAATTTTATTCAGAATTATTGGTTCCATATTTGGGATCTTTTTTTATCCTTATATTTTACTTTTGGCAGAAATCTTAGAGGTAAAAGAAAAGCTACTTATAAATCTTAGAGATTTCTCTATTCATTTTTCGTAGAAACCACAGTAGAGGTTTACAAATTTTAAGTCTGTACACAAACAGCCTATCTTTTATGTAATATACATTAAAAACAAATTCAGAACAAAGAATAGTGATATACTAAAATTGTCTATAGAAACAGGTGGTTCGTTGTTGCTGTTGTTTGTTTTTTGTACTTTGAAGTAGTGTTTTGAAAAGGAATATTTTGAATGTAAATCAGGGGGTCATGGTAGCAAGAAGAATGAAAGTCTGATAACTGAACATGTTTGGAGTATGTTAATTCCCTTTTTAGTGATTTATGAAAGTAAAAGGAATGCTTGTTTTGGTGGAGACCAATCTTGCTCGCTATTATGGTTGTTGCATTAGAACCTCCACATGCAGCTCAGTGGTCTATTCAGGGACAGAACAAGGGTTTTTAATTCGAACTCAAGGACCTTGTCTGGTAGGTCAGAAATCGTACTATGCAGCTCCTAATTAACAAGCCATTAGCCAGTCTGTTGTGAAATGCCTGTAATCTTGTCTAATTAAAATGCTATCAAGTTAATTCAGAAATGTGGGAAAACTTAATACTGGAATTTGCCTTCTGTTTTGTTTATAAATCCAGTGTGGGGAGAAGAGATTCCGTCCTTGGAGAGTTTTGATTAAGTTGACGTGCGTTTGCTGTGAATTGTTAGCAACGCTCAGTAGTCGCCAACGCTCTTGTTCTGCTTTACAGGTTTGCTCTGTAGGCATTAAGTCCCACAAAGACAAATCTCCTTCTATACCTTGCCATGCATATTTTATTAAGAATTGCTGAGAATTTTTTTTTTTTCTCTTTAAAAAAAATAAAACTCACTGTGGGACAAAGCATTCTGAGGCACATTCTGTGCCTCCCAGGTCTTTTGCTTTCAGTGTAAATAAAAGAACAACTCGTGTCAGTCAAACTTAATAGAATCTCTAGGGGCAAAATGAGATCTTTTGCAGAACAATGCAGGAACAAACTCTTTGGGTCGTTTGTTTTTGTAAAGAGAGAGCCGTTACATTCCCTACTGTCTCGTTTTGTGTTTAAAAGAAAAAAAGAAACCATGGCGTTTAAAGAAGTAAAATTTACATGGTTGTGAATTACAATATTCTGTTGCGTTAATAAGCTTTGTTGTGTTACTGCTGTACATCGTCCCTGCTGTGGGTTTTGGCTAGATGGTACGTGAAACTTACAGGAGATTATTCTTTTCAGTGTGATTTATTCAGGAAAGAGACGCAGACTAGTAATTTGTAGCAGATATGGCTTCTCTTATAGAAAATAAAGACCTTCCTGTTTCCATTTGTGAGGGGGCACAAAAGGTAACAGGTTGAGGCTAGACCCAAGGACCAGTGTTTCACAGTGAGGGAAAAGGCCTGGTTAATTTTGTTAGGAATACTGTGTTTGTGATTTTTACACATGGATTCTTAATCTAGGTTTAAATAATGAGGAGTACCAAGTGGTCATCGGAAATGACACAACTCATATATTATTGACGACTTGGAACCTGCCAGCAATTACACTTTCTACATTGTGGCATATATGCCAATGGAGCCAGCCAGATGTCGACCATGTGACACAGAATACGCTTGAGGATGGTAGAAAACACGATTCTAATATCTCATGATAACG